ACTCGAGAAAAATAAGTCAAACTCAATACTCAATGACTAAGTTATACCCAATAACATTACTAAGTCAAAACATATAAGCCATACAACCTATTACTTGAAAGCCTAAATCTTCAAGAAAGATAAAACAAATTAGTAGGAATAAAAATTTAAAAATAAATAATACTCATTAAAGGCCAATTAGAAAGCATGACAAACTTGTTGCCTGAAGAGTTTCGGTCGCAAACCCAACTCCAATGGTGGATTTGAATTCAAAAGAAAACTCATTTTAGCCTTACATTAACATAGATCGTTTCACGCGAATAATTCCTGATTTGAACATTAGGGTACAATACCCATTAAAAAGGGCAGGCTTTAGGTTTCATATATGTATGGTAATTAGATCATGCACACGTACTTTGCATGTCGTTTTAAGTTATAATTATAATTATAATTTTATTTTTGCAATTGTTTGAAATCATAATGTAAATACAACGACTTATAAATATTTATGAACCAAACAATGTAGTAAACTTACTACAATTCGTATGATTTATATTGGAATGTTTTCATAAAAAAATATTAGTTTTATTTCTTTTTCTATTAACTCTTATAGTTTTGAGTAATTATTTTCTTACGAAGTTCTACCTCCTAAGATTTAGAAATTTTGACAAGAAACTAATCGTTTAGATGAATTATATTTTGCAATGTTCATTGTAATGGCACAAATACATAGTACGGTATGTGGATATATATATAACAACTAATAAAAAATACAAACACTTATTGAATTGTAAAAAAAAAAAATAAAGAAAAGGGTTTTAAGTTATGGTGGTCATACACTCATACACAATTAAAAGAAATTTAGGTTGTAGAAATAAAATAAGTAATTAAGTTACTTGCAGTAAGAAAATAAATTTAATCTTGACCATTCATAGTATTAATCATCATCCAACAAAAACAAAAAATAAAAATAAAAACAACCCTACTCTAGTGTTACTAATAAGAGGGTGCATTGATACTAAAATTATAATTTAGAAGAAGATGAAAGGTTGGGGTTTGATATTATTATTCAGGATACATCAAAATAAATTCTATAATAAATAAAGTTGAAAGTGTCATAGTTTGATCATCAACTAATAAAAAAAAATGCTAACTCCTTTTAACTGTTAACGTTGCCTTTCAAAAGTAAGATGAAAAACTTGAATATGTATAACACTAATGAATTCTACTAATTAATATGAATTTGTAGTAATATGATTTTTACATTAAATATGGTTAATATTATCATTATGCTTTGTTATAGGAATAAAATAATCAGACAATTTTTTTTTTTGATTGATTGTTTACTTTTATTAATAATGTAGATATAGATAAGCACAAAAAGTTGTTAATAATGAGTTCTTGCAAACCCAAGCACAAAACTACATGTGGATTATTTTACAGCTTTATTGAAGCATAAGTCTACAATTGGTAACTTGATACTGTTAGACTTCTCAAAACATCCAAGTTTATAGTTTATATTTAAAGTAGTGTTTATCTAATGGATTATGCCAAAGCCATTGGTTGCATCCAAGTAACATAGTAATTTATTACAAGTATTGTGGACCTACTATGACTCTGGTTGTACGAAGTAAAGTCGCTAATTAATGACCATTATCCAATTTTAACCCTCTCAATATCCAAAGGATGGGTAGGGTAAAAACTTCTTGAAGTTTTAACATTAAAACAATTAATTACTCCCATGTCTAATGAATAGAAAATTATATGTACTAACAAAGCATTAAACAAAAAAAAAATTGAATCAAATCATAATATTATGTTCATTACAACCATCTTTACCACTATCATCTTAATCCCCAAAGCAAATATTTTCATTATAAAAACAAAAATTGAAGAGATAGACAAACATGAACAGATGTGAGAGAAAGGGAAAGGGATAAGTATTTGAGCAAGTGAGTCATATGGTATTTATAAGAGAATACCTTTAAATGACAAGAATATGAAATGTAAGTTCTAAATTGTTACTGATACCTTGAATGTAGAAGGTCTAAACTTTAAATTAATGTGTATATCATTATTTCTAGAATTTGTAGTAGGGCCTAAACTTACCACTAAGTTATTATAGTTGTTTAATCAATGATAAAATTGACATAAAACTACAAACTAAGGATAAAATAGAAAAATAAAAGTTTTTCACAATAGCATACTTTTATAGATAGATATAGATAAATATTATAGATTTTTAGAAATTAAAATTATTGAATTCAGATTAAAGATAAATTATGTTGTCCTATAGAAAATCTCAATTTCATTAAAATGTTTTTGTTATTATTGGTCAAATTTATATATATTATGTTGATCAATTTTGCACATATTCGTGGCTATGACATAGAAAATTAATTTTTAAGTAAGAAGTTATGAAGATATTGTATTCTTCTATTTTAATTTGGGGAAATATTAGTAAGGCTACTTGAATATGATAATCTTATTGTCCTCTTATGTGGCCACCAAGTACTCTTGGTCTCTATCGTTATGGTCTCACACACAAACATATATGTATGTAGTGGTATGTAAAAATATCAGAATTAATAAGTACATAACAAATATATATATATATATATATATATATATATATATATATATATATAGTGTATCATTTAGTATACTTGTTGGAGTTTTATGCCTTTGAATTGGAATTTGAGGACAAAGTTAAGTAAACTTATAAATTTTGATTCTCAATTTTAGTGTCAAGCCTTGGATTCTATTGTACCAAGGGGGAGCATAAATTCAATTCAAAAAATAAAAAGAACCATGCTTACCAACTCTAAAAATTCAAAAATCAATCACTTTATCATGTGAAAGATGGATTTGCTTCTCAGTGATAGAGGAGTCTTGGAACAAAAATATCACAATCATTAAAATACAACTTTCATTATATACAACACTATAATCATCTCAATTAAACTTATATAAATCTTAACTATTTCTTAGTCCAAATAATAAAATTCATCAACTTTATATTTACAAGTTAGCGAAGTTAATTTTTTGACATCTTATTGCTTAGATGAATGGATAAAGGATATTGATACAATTTTCTTCTAGTTATATGCACAAGCTAAGTGAGAAAAAATGTGTAATGGTTGTCGAGTGAGTGAGAGAGACATTTGATGATATCAATTAGACCAAGTCCTAGGAGTTGCTTAATCGACGAACTTCAGATTGTTGAGCCCACCTTTTTTGTAGCATCTCACTGCAGGATAGTGTGACGATGGAACATGGTGATGGAGTAGGTGGACATGTATTTGAGAAAGTGGTGGGTATTATTATTAGGTTTTAGGTGTGTAAAGAGTGGTTAATGGTAGGAGTGAGATCTCTATGGAAGACACAATATATGTAAGAAAAATTGAGAAGAAGATGAAGAGAACATAAGAAACCATAGAGTGGCTAAATAAATCAAAGCAATTTTGATTATTCCAAGTTGTTTATAATATTTGTGCGCTTAAAATGAGAGGGAAGTTGAATGAATGAGAAGGAAATGAATGGATGACTTGCAGTTCAGAATACAAAAATACAAAAATCATGTGTGGTTAATAATTAACTCTTATGTTTTTTTCTTTAGTTAGTACATTAATTTGGATTTAATGCAAATGTAATAGATGATGAAAAAAAAAGGAGAGATGAAAAGTCTCTATAAATGAAAAATATTTATTCAAGTGGATAGTAGTTTGATATTTAAATGATGTTTGAGGATAAAAAAGTCAATCAAAAGTTTTTTCACCATAGGTACATTTAGAAGTAGTAAATAAATAAATAAATAAATATATTTGTATGAGCATACCAACCATCCATACATGATACTTATTCCTTTTCAATATTAGATATAACTAAATTGCTTCTTTTGGTTTGCAAATGTAAATTATGATAGTGAAAAAAATGCTCAATGCTTATGCTCTTACAATATCATTACTGTCTTCGTGACTTGTACTATATACCAATCAGTGGTTATAGATTGAATAAGACATAATTTTTTTCTTTTATTTATGGAAAAAAAAGAATCAATAGGCTTGCCTTTGAGCAAACATGATTCTTCAAGTGCTACAAATCAGTTGACTTTAACTGCTATGAAATGGAAACTATTTATAAGCAAAACACAGAGGTAAACTTATGTTATTTCCAAGTAAAGCCAACAACAATATAGAAGCATCAGTGTGTAATTTTATGTCAAGACAAACAATTCTTAAATTTTTTTACCTGGTAAAATCTTGAATTTTCANACAACAATATAGAAGCATCGGTGTGTAATTTTATGTCAAGACAAACAATTCTTAAATTTTTTTACTTGGTAAAATCTTGAATTTTCAAAAAATAATATATCTATAGATACATGCAAGTGCATACACACGTGCATCAATTCGTTATATAATAGCCATAAAATTTTTTTTTTTCCCTCTCACCAACACTTGTGAATAAAAAATAATAACCCACAAAAATAGAGACATCGCCCAAAATTTATAACCAGCGGATATTTCATTCATATATAATGAGTGATCTATTATTGAATAAAAATAAAAATTAAGAACAAATGTAATAGAGAATATTTGGATTGAGATGAAATGCAAGCAATTTTGCGTTTTTTTTTTTGAGCTGAAAAAACTTTTTCAAAAAAAGGAAAAAGAGAGCTCAGATGCGCGTTATTTTCGTCTGATGGATCGGACGGTTGTGAGGACCCTGTCTTCACTTGGAGCGCAGAGCTTCATCACAGCTCCCTCGACATATATGCACCAGCCGGGAATCGAACCCGCGTCTGTATCGTGGCAGGGTACTATTTTACCACTAGACCACCGGTGCTTCTTGTTCAACTTTCCGTATCTTATTTAATTTAGTAAGCTACTTTGCAAGCGTGACAAAATAATAAAAACCGACTTCAGGGAAAGGACCCGACTTGACTACTGCTCCGACTGGTGGATCCTTATCCTTGGGCTCTAGGGTTTGAGACGGCCCCCCCCACGCCCCCATATAAGTAATCCCACACACTTTTTCTCTCCATTCCTGCTGAAGTAAACCCTAGCTTCTGAGTGCAGAGCCGTCTAAGTAGCAGAGCCACCGGAAGCTATCATCCAAGATGGTGAGTGAGAGAATCCCATTCCTCAATCTTCTTCTCATTAGGTATAGATCAAGCGATTCGCTAAATCTGATTCCTATGTGTGTATATTTCTCTGTGTGTGTTTGTAGACTTTCAAGCGAAGGAATGGAGGTCGAAACAAGCACGGTCGTGGCCATGTAAACCCTATCCGATGCTCCAACTGCGGAAAATGCTGCCCCAAGGTTCAGTCCCTCTCGCTCATTCTGTAATATATTGGCCTTTTATCATCTTTTAGGATTCAATCAATTGGAGCTCTTATGTCTTTTTTTGAAACCGATATTGATGAGCATTTACTTTTACCTGTGTTTGATATTATAGGGCGTATTCTCGAATCACACCTTAGGCTTATATTCGATTTCTGCCAGTGATTAGATACACCATTGTAGAACAATGAGTTGATAGGTTGAGATTGTGTTTTTCAGTGAGGGAGCGTATCTGGTGTTTGTGTGTATTTATTTTTATCTGGTGTTTGTTTGTGTCTTATAACTTTCTTTTTCATTAGGCTATAAGCGTCAAAGGCATTGATAACATGAAATTTATTGTATGAATTTGATCTAATGATTAATTCAATGTTTTAGTGATAGAAAGTTCGGATGATCTTGATTACCTTGTATATGCTTGCACCTTTATATTTGTTGGGGAGATTGCATAAATACTGTGGAATTAATAATTGTTATGTTGGGGCTAGGGATATGCCAGTGGTTTACCCTACTTGATATTTTCATTGAGCGTTTGCTTTTTCATTTATGTATTTATATCCATGGTAATAAGTTCGAAACAGTTTGAATCTTTCTTTAGTATGACGTTTGGGGAACTTATTATTTAATGAAAGTATGCTTTTTGTATATGTATATGTTTTTTTTAGGACAAAGCTATCAAGAGGTTTCTTGTGAGGAACATAGTTGAGCAAGCTGCTGTTCGGGATGTCCAGGATGCTTGTGCCTTTGAGAGTAACACCTCTCTTGACATTTAACATTTTATCTGTATTATCTTATTCTTATTTCCTTGCATCAGAACCGCGGTGGTCATTGATTAATGGTTTTGTACTTGTTATTTTTTTAGCGTACACTCTTCCCAAGTTGTATGTGAAGATGCAATATTGTGTTTCATGTGCAATTCACTCCAAAGTTGTTAGGGTGCGCTCAAGTACTGATAGAAGGAACCGTGAACCCCCTCAGCGCTTCAGGCGTCCAAGGGTATGCTTTCCTCATTGTATTTGGTTTCTTGCAGTTGTTTAATGGTTTTCTCAGAAGAAACTTATTTAGTCACTTTTGTTCATACCTTATTGATGTCTTAGTAGTGTTTCACTTTTAATTGCACTGTATCATACATTAGTTTCTATTTGTAATGGTATACATCTCTGTATAATCCAGTAATTGGCTTCCAAATTCCCCAAATGCTTAGTGTGTGTGTCGTACTGCCTTATCCTTATAGATTTCTCAGTGTCATCTCATATGAATTATAGTACCTTAGGTTTCTATATTGCTCACAATTGGCCTCTCATCTTCCTTCATATCGATCTGCTTGATCTTATAGATTTGTATCCATTCAAGTGCCCAATTGTTGCTACCTAAGAAGCATGGACACGGATAGGGGACACGACACGATACAGACACACAGACACAACATTTTTTAAAAAAGTAGGGACACGGATATGCTATGAATACGTTACAAAAAATTATATTTTATATAACATTATATAATTTATCACAAATATAGTGATAATGATATGCAATTCATAAAAAATTCAGTTTGTTATAATAAGTAAATCTTATGTGCAGTCATATGTATTTTTAGACTAAAGCTTTATCATAATAGTCAATAATCATCAATTGTTTTTGGTAGACAATGTGTACCTAATATATAATTTAAACAATTGCTCTTATTTTCTCAATTTTTTTTTTTTTTCTTTTATTCATTTTTTGTTTTTATTATTATATTTGGAGTAAAATTTTAACATGTCTAGTACTATAATAATTATATGTTATCAAAATTTTAAATTTTATTAATCACATTTCAACACATGTTTATTGTCTAGTAGTAGACATGTTCTAAACAACTGTCGGACACGTTACCAAAGAAGGGTCGGATACGTGTCTGAAATTAAAAAATTTTCATTTAATATGGACTCAGATAAAAAAATATCAGACACATGTCTGAAAGTGTTGGTATCCGACACGGATACGTCACTTTCTCGAGAGTGTCGGTGTCCGAAGAGTGTTGGTGTCCGATACGGATACGTTACTTTCTCGAGAGTGTCCGTACTTCATAGGTTGCTACTGTGATCCCTTTAAGCTAATCATGATTTTGCTTATTGTATTGGAAATTGACGTGTTTTTCACTTCAGCATTCTCCCCAGTTCTGGTAGATGCTGTGCATCCAAGAATTGTCTTGGGTTTGAATGATAGATTCCTTTTCCATGATCCAAAGTTCCGCCACTCTGTCTTCATGGTTTTGGAGAATCTCTCATTGTCGTGGCTTTAGATTTTATCATCCAGTTTCTTGTGCTGGGGTGAGTTTGGAGTATTTATCAACCTTTTATTTGAGTTCCTGCAAACTTCTCATTAGCATCTGTGCAACCACAATTTACCAAAAGGTAGAGTATTGATAACCCTATTCCACACCTGTGCATCATTTAGAGGAATTTGTCTAGAAGATGACTGCCACGGCACCCTGTACCTGATATAACGGTGTAGTATAGTTTTTCTTGGGCTAATTTTCTTTACTTGTGTTTTGATCATTCCATGAATTATTTTGCTCAGTTAGTTAACTGGAAAAAATTTTGCTATTTTTTTACTGATCTGGCCCCTTGATTAGATTGTCAGAATTGGACAGTTTCAGGAATTCGTAAGAATACTTATGAAAAGAAAAATAAACTGAAGCCATATTAGATGAATACACCAAAGCTTGGTGGCAAAGATTCTACTGCGCATGTATATGTAGAGGCACACACAGCTCAGTGATATGTAGATGTACTAGTGATTTGCTGAAGCTTTCCCATAGTTTTGCCATCAACTAATACTGTTGGCTATCTCAGTTTTCTGATATCATCTCTTTATTGGTTTCAGGAGGATCAGCCCAGGCCTGGACAAGCACCACGTCCTGCTGGAGGAGCTCCAGCTGCTACCCGGACTTGAAAAACCACTTATTATTTCCTCTACTAAGCTTTTAAATTTGGTGTTGGTGGAGTTTCATTATGCTTTATTATAAGAAGGATTTGACATTAATTGCTATTTTGTTTTGCTTTAATGTGGACTAATATTGTGTTGTCATTTTGAATTTTAGGAAAAACTAAGATTTTTGAATTCTATCAATGAAGTCGTTTCAGACATGTTACTTGTGGTTACTTCTCTAGTTTGGGGTTATAAGCTATTCGTGATGGTATTATAATTTATTGGTAAACCAGGTGAGTATAAGATGACTGTCAGGGAGGACAAGAAAATTATGTTTTAATTGATTTTAGTTTGTTAATATATGATTAGCCGAAAGAGCTGGTTGCTGTAAATTGATTGTTGCAGTAGGTATGCAAAACCTTGTCTAGTTAGAAGAAGGCATTAAGCTATATTTGGTGCAACCTCCTTTAAGTTCTTTCTTTGTCCATGTGTTGCTGGAACCTGTAATGCCTCTATAGTTCTTGCTTCATACACGTTCAATAATTCCGCCTTTTTTATGCAAGCATGGCCGTTCAGAAAAAGGGTTTTTTTGGGCTCTTAGAACTTTGAAATTAGTTGTTAATTTTGCACTCTCCCACAGATTTTTCTTTCCTTTTCAATTATTTTTGGGGTTTGTTTGTTTAGCGGGAGAATGGTAAAATATTCAAGAAATTGTTTTTTTAAAATTTTCATGTTTGAATTTTTTCATAAATAATCAATTTTATTTTTTGTAAAAAAACACAACGAAATGTAAGAAAGTTGGAATTTATAATTAATTTTTTATTTTATTCTTATTTTTTAAAAAATATTTTATGAGTTATTAATTTTAAAATTTTTTTTGGCTTGATTTAATTAATTATATAATTTGGTCCAAATATTTTTGTATTGGTGATTGTTTTAGAACTAGGTTTCGAGTCACTTTTTTAAAGTTTTTTAATTTTTAATTATAATTATATATTTTATCCTTTTAAACCGATTTAATATAATTAAGCATAATTTAGATAATTAAAAAAAATTTCCTATAACTTTTATTTTTTTCAAATAATAAAATAAAATTTTTTTACGACGTTCGCGTAAATTTTTCATTCTAATTAAATATATGCATGAAAATATATTTTATATTATTTTTTTTTTTACTTCATTTTCTATCATTTTTTTTTAATCAAACGGATCCTTTGGGTTGGAGTCGAGGGTTGCTAGTGGGGCTGACTGTGTTTATTCTACCTTCTTCTGTCAAGTGGAACAAGGAAATTTAGTATTTACCCTATCCGTCGATGAGAAAATGAAATTTGAGAGGAAGACTAATCGGCGGATTAGAAAAGGTTTGTATTGAATGTACATGGGATTTGAGAGGAAGAGCAACTTGCGTATTAAAAAGATTTGTATGAAATGTTCTATTTCTATCTGAGCTTTCTAATAAATCAAATCCCTATTTTAGGGTCATCTGTGTTAAGTAGGCTTGAAAATCACTGATTAGTCGAATGTCAAAAAAAAAAAAAAGTTGTACGTGAGAGTTTTCTTTTATAAGTCTCGAATCATTCTTAAATATATTGAAAGACATTTTTTCCTTGTGTTGTTGGGTTAGTTTACACGCACGCAAACGGATATCGTCCACAACAAGAAGAATTTATGACCAATAGAGATAGGTTGAGAAGGAATAGTAATATGTCATTTGCAAATGACTTATTTTCTCCCCCTCATTTTGGGTAGGTTCTATGGTACCGCATGGACAAAATTCGGTACGGTACCAAAATACTGATGGGAGCCGTTGATGTTCTGCTCATTAGTGCACAACCATTGATATGTTGATTTAAATTTATTTTTATTTTGATCATCATATGTTGATTTAATTTAGTTACACTTTTGTATATGTAAACCTATAACTTGCTCAGCCGGTCATGAAAAGGATAATTAAGATCGATCGTAAACTCACAAGATCGATCTAGTTTTTTGTTTGTCCTCGATGATACCTCAAATAAGTTATAAGAGCGAGTTCAGAAAACGAGGTCAGGTCAGGAGGTCTAGTAGGATACGAGGAGCTCAAAAGTCCAAGGCCAAAGCTCCCCCTGGAAAGATGTTAGCGGAACTGACCAGGGAACAGCTAGATAACTGCGAAGATTGGGTTCAAAGCATGAAACTCTCAATCAACTAAGATTCTCTCCTAAAATCAAGAAGAATCCCGCTAATGTCACTTGCAAATGACTTATTTTCTCCCCCTCATTTTGGGGAGGCTCTATGGTACCGCATGGACAAAATTCGGTATGGTACCAAAATACTGATGGGAGCTATTGATGTTCTGCTCATTAGTGCACAACCATTGATATGTTGATTTAAATTATTATTTTTTTTATCATCATATGTTGATTTAATTTAGTTACACTTTTGTATATGTAAACCTATAACTTGCTCAGCCGGTCATGAAAAGGATAATTAAGATCGATTGTAAACTCACAAGATCGATCTAGTTTTTTGTTTGTCCTTGATGATACCTCAAATAAGCTATAAGAGTGAGCTCAAGAAACGAGGTTAGGTCAGGAGGTCTAGTAGGATACGAGGAACTTAGAAGTCCAAGGCTAGAGCTCCCCCTTGGGGGGATGTTAGCGGAACTGACCAGGGAACAGCTGGATAACTGCGAAGATTGGATTCAAAGCATGAAACTCTCAACCAATCAAGATTCTCTCCTAAAATCAAGAAGAATCCCGCTAATGGCAGGCGAAGATATCGACTGAGATCCTACAGAATAGGAAACAGTCCTATAAATACTATGTAACGCTTCTATAGAAGAAGAATAAGAGAAAAAAACCCTAATTTTGAGATATACGGAATTGTAATACATTTGAGTAGTGAATAGAGGAGAGGGAGCAAGAGCCTCCATTGAAGAAGTGGACTACCCGAGCTCCTGAGCTGGTGAACTACTATATTTTCACTGTGTGCACCCCTCTAATCCCCTCTGCATTTTGTTCCAGTATGACACACGAGCCTCATAGCTTTGATCCACGCTCATCACACGTCACCTGCCTTTTTGCTCATCAATGTGGTCATACACCATCAGTTTGGCACCGTCTGTGGAAACGACTGTTTCTGTTACAAGTACACTGATCTTTTAGTAATTGATGGTTTTCACGCATAATATTAGCAGAAGCTAGACGAATCCCCCAAGGATGCAGGATCAGCAAGAGAATCTTTATGACTTTGTGCCCACGGCTGAGGATAATCCCTCTGTAGCAGATCCTCCAACAAACAATGAACTGGATGCCCTCCGTCAGGCCAACCAGCAATTACTCCGGCAGAATGAAGACCTCTTGAAGCTTTTACAAGGTCCTCAGCAAGCACGACCGGCTCAGCAAGGCCAGAACGATCCCCCCCGCAGGGGGCAACAGCACCTTGACCCTCTCAGAGAAGTAGAAGAAGGAGGCGAAAATAGTCAGGCTCCTTATCCACCCCCAAGGGTTGGTAACAATGAAGAGGCGCAGAGTCAAAATAATGGGATTGAGAAAAATAATTTTCTCCCTTTCCAACAGGAAAGGATGGAACAATATTGGGAGCAACGTTTTAAGGACATCTAGCAAGAGCTCAGTGTCATGAAGGAAACAGTGAGGGGTAAGACTCCAGTAACAATGGATGCATTGGTGCAACAAATCGAGGACCCATTCACTGCTAGGGTGTTGCACTTTTCCCTCCCTCCTAAATTCAGATTGTCTCAGATATAAGCTTTTCATGGGACAAAAGATCCAGTAGACCGCCTTAACACCTATAAAAATCATATGGAGTTGCATGGATACCAAACTTCAGTGCGATGTAGGGTCTTTGCCATCACTTTGAAGGGCTCAGCCTTAGCGTGGTTCAACAGGCTCCCCCTAGCCTCGATTTCCTTCTTTAAAGTGCTCTCTATCTCCTTCGTATCCCATTTTATTGGAGCTCGGATCTATAGAAAGCCAAGCTACTATTTGTTGAATGTGAAGCAAGGACCTGACAAGAACCTTCGATCCTATGTCCAGAGGTTCAACTCAGAGTCTCTAAAGGTAGACATCCCAGATGAGAAGTTTGCCATCACTGCTTTCATCGTAGGTCTTGGAGTGCAATCAAAGGACCTGATGTTATCTATCTCGAAGAATCCTCAGGCAAGTATGGCAGAGGTGTTGGCCAAAGCAGAAAAGTATATAAACGGTAAAGAAGCGCTCCTCTCTAAAGTAGGGGGCTCTTCATCACGAAAGGAGAAAGGAAAGGAAGAAAAGAAGAGGGATCGAAGTCCTAGAAAAGAAAGAGAACATGACAGGTCTCCAAGAAGAGATAGAGACCGCTCCCCGAAGAGAAGAGGAAATGTTAGGGATCGCTTAGGCCCTCCATAGCTAGAACTGCAACCGAAGTATGCACCTCGGCAGTTCACCCCTCTAACTGCCACGGTGTCTCAAATCCTGTATGAGGTAAGAATGAGAAGTTCTTAAGATGGCCGCCCCGGATAAAGGCAGATCCAGTAAAGAGGGACCCCACAAAGTATTGTGACTACTACAGAGACCATGGCCATCACATTGATGATTGCATACAATTAAAGAAGGAAATAGAGTTCCTAATCCAGCGGGGGCAATTGAGTCGCTTTGTGGCCAACGATAATCAAAATTGAGCTCTCCCACCTCCACCACCTCAACAACAAGCACCGGAACCACATCAGTAGCCTATGGGGGAGATCAAAGTGATAGCTGGAGGATTCACTGGAGGAGGAGAGTCCAGCTCAGCCAGAAAGGCTCATCTGCGAAGAATCAGAGTGGGAGAAGCTCCTGAAGTGTGTACTGTGTCTAAGGCTCCATTTCTAGACACAACTATCACTTTCTCAGACTCAGACCTAGAGGGTTGCCAACATCCCCATGATGATCCCTTGGTGGTAAGAGCTGTGGTAGCCAACAGGACTGTTCATCGGGTTTTGATTGACAATGGCAGCTCGGCAGACATCATTTTCGCCTCCGCTTTCGACAAGATGGATGTAAGAAGGGAGAAGCTTGAGCCAATAAGTGCTCACTTGTTGGGATTTTCAGGAGAAATGGTGCTGCCCCTGGGATCAATCCAGCTCGTCCTAACCTTAGGTGATCCCCCCTACCAGACCACAACAACCGTAAGGTTCCTGGTGGTCGATGCACCTTCTGCGTACAACATACTCCTTGGGAGGCCTTCGCTCAACTCTATGCGGGCTATCCCTTCTACTTATCCCCTCGTGGTGAAGTTCCCAACAGAAAACGGAGTTGGAGTGGTCCGAGGAGACCAGCGTGTGGCACGAGAGTGCTACATGGCATCTGTGAAGAAGAGGGAGGTTGAGAACATCCAGCTAGATGAACTTGATGTGAG